CTGCAAAATTTTATCCTCTGTGTCCCCATCAGACTTGCAGGGTTTCAAATCTGTTGGCAGCATCTCGGCTTCTGGATACCAGCCCTTAGAAAACTTCAGCAAACTGAAGTCTTGCGGGGGGGAGACTCAGGTGGACATTTCATTTTTGTGCAAGGTTGACTTACTTCACTAGGAGCAAGGAGCCATTTAAATGATTGGGTGGACAACTTGTTAATAAACTAAAGAAATAATCTTAAGGCTCTTTAGTTAGCATGACTACTGTATATGTTGAGTAGTAAGAGCTGCCTAATTAGACATAGACACAAATTTATGGTCTAGCCTGTCAATCCGCGGATTAAGGACTCCATAAGTACCTACCGACACGATGGGCTGTAATGGCTCCTAAAGAGATGTTATGGTCTATCGTGTCAATAATCCAGAGATTAAGGGCTCCCTAAGTATGTGTTGACGTGACCAACTGTCCCAGCTCTTTGGGGGCTCTTGTGTTGGGGCAGTGGAGGGACCCCATGGGCCACCTTGGGCGGTGGCATCCCTGCAGTAGGTAAGGGTTTATTTTCTCTGCAAACAACGGGAGCTTAACACATGGCCGTCCTCTAAATTAGCCTTTCAGAAATCATCCCAGCCATCAAAAGCAGGGGGGCGGTGAGGAAGCTGAAGCTGTCTAGCCCTTGCAAGCAGGGAGATATAAAAGGTTTTGGGGCAAACGTTGCCGTGGGTGGTGTCTCCAGGCTGCCCACAAACTCCGTTAAAGGCACAAAGACCCTTTTCTGCAGCAGGATATATCCTTTAATTTGGATTTTTTTTTTCCCTTGCTTTTGCAAAGCATACCTGGAAATTGGGCTTTGAAGGATTTTTCTTGGGTTTTTTTGTTTGTTTGTTTGTTCCCCCGCCCAAGTACCCTGTAAATTACCCGAGAGACTGGAAAGGAAGTAAAAGTTCCCTTTTTGGTGCCCGTTTTGATTTGCTTTGATGAGCTGTGTGGTTGCACGTCATGCTCGTGTTCTCCTCACCTTGATGTAATGCCTGTTCGCTTCTTGAGTAAGAGTTCAGGGGTGTGTTTGTCCTGAGATGCTGCTAGTAAGACGAAGGGCAAAACTCCCACTGGAGTCTCCCGAGCTGCCCTGAGGACTCTCCAGAAGAGCATGCAAAAACCCATAAAAAGCCCTGGCGTTTGTGTCTCCATCTCTTCCATCTTGACAAGCAGGAGAAGATGGGGGGCATGGCTCTGCCCTGGGCTCGCAAATGCCACTTAAGGTCAGCCAAGAGAGATTACCGGGCGCGAGACATGCTGAGCTTGGTCTCAGCCTTGGCCCCGGCCAGACGACACGTTGTGCTGACACCAGTCCAGCCAATTTTTTTTAAGCTCAGATGCCCTACGCAGATAAAGGAAGAAGGACCGTAGGTTCATCTGCTCATCGGCAGTGCCACGCATTGCTCGTTTTTCCAGCAGAAAGCTGCCTCCTGGGAAGCCAGGCAGGGATCTCACCACCCCTTTGGGTCTCCTTGGTGCCCCAGGAGCTCACATCTGGGTCCTGGTCCTTCTAGGAAAGATCCGTATGACCAAACTCCTTTTGGTGCTATGGTTTCTTGGTGGACATCTAAATTAATTTATCTGTTGCCTTTACCGATTCATGTCGGGTTATCGGTTGTGCGTGCAGTGTCTCCTCCGCGAATGGCCCCGGTGAAGGTACCACCTTGCACCTGAGCAACCTGATCCAGTTGAAGATGTCCCTGCTCATTGCAGGGGGTTGGACTGGATGACCTTCAAAGGTCCCTTCCCACCCAAACCATTCTGTGATTCTGTGAGTCTATGAAAACGAGGAGGCTTTTGTTAGCACTTCGGGGTAGATGATGCCATGGTGGTTTGTGTCAGGGTTGATGTTTGGTGGGAAATCCAGCCCCAGGGATCACAGAGGAATGAGGGAGAGGAGGGGGTGTGATGGTGAGAAGTTCAGGAAGAGCATGAGAAGGTGCTTTGGGTCAAAGCTGCTCTTACCCCAAAAAAATCTACGAAAATATATTAAAAAAAAGTACAAATACATAGTTTGAAACACTTCTACAGTTGGATAATTTAATTTGCATCTAATCCTAATATCATTGAGGAAAGATCCAATTACAGGCATTTAAAAACCTAATCAGGAGCGCAGTTGTATTCCCAATTTCAGCGACGAGTTGTTATTATCGCAGATACCAGCGACAATTTAGATAGCTCTTGACTTGATCAGATGGGAGTAGTCCCGGCGGGTGAGATCGCTCAGTGTGTGCTAAACTTGCTGTTTTCTTTAGAGGTCGGTTGATTACAGGAAAACCTTTAGCTATGTCAAAACAAAACAAAGCAAAACAAAAGATCCCCAGCCCACCTTCCCTCTACGTTCATGAACTTGGCACCAGGACAAGGCTGAGATCCGAAAGCCGGCCAGAAGTTGCGTTGGTGGTGGCTTTTTTTTTTTTTTAAATTCAATTTTGCTGAGATGTTTCGGTTCTTCCTGAATGAAGAAAGGAACTTTTTCTTCCGAACTCCTAATAAAACTACTGGAGCTCAGAAAGAAGAAGTACAGATGATGTGGTTTCATCATCTTAAAAGTGTTCATGTGTCGAGGAGAAAAGCCACACCAGAAATTTTCTGCCACTTCCAGGCAATGTGAGATGTGAGTCCTCCTGCCACAGCTTGGGAGAACCAAGCGTGGGGTTGTTACTGATAAATTTGGGTGTTTCCATGGTGTGAATCTCCCATACCCACCTTCATCTGGACCTCCTTGGTTTCAGCAGCTTTTAATTTTTTGGGGTTATTGCTCTGGTGTCCCATCCTCCAGGATTTCTGTATGGATGTAGCATTTTCTGCAGCAGGATGATGCCCTGAGCCCACGGGCAGTGTGTGCACACCTGAAGCTAGAGAAATCCTGGCTGCGGCCCTTTATTGAGCAATTTTGGGCAGGATTTGATGTTTGCAAGGGCCAAGGCAGGTGGTGGGAAACCTCGCAGCCTCTCATGCTGGTTGGTTTGTTGGGAAGTAGCTGGGATGATGCCTTTGTGGCGGACACTCCTTCCTCTCCAAGGGATGCACCAGTAAAAGTCAGCGCAGCTCTTCAGGAAGGTGTAAAAAAAATACGGAAAGAAAATCAATTTCTCAATGGGAATGTGATGTTGAATAATGTGGTTGTGCTGGGACATTGCTGTCTTCATCACTATCCACACCAAACTTCCAAAAAATGTTCCCCCAAAGACTTTGGGGTATCAAACTATTGCCTTAATTTCTCCCCTTCATGCAGAAACGTGCTCTGCTTTGGATGGCCGTTCTCCGTAGACCCAACTATAAGTGATCAATACAACTAATTCTCTAAATTCCTGAGGGCAGACTTGCTTTATTTGCAGTTATTTATATATATTTTTTTCCACAACAGGCTTACACAATACGCTAGGGGGGAGCCTGACGGAGCCCCTAGGCAGGCTGTAATACAAACCATGGAAAATAATAATAAACCAATGACAGCGGCAGATGGAGGGATGCTTAATAACAAAATAATAGCGCGGATGTTTATAGCCTTAAACATTATCATTGTTTGCTGGAACATGGGAACGCTCCCAGTTTGCTGGGAGTTTTCCAGGCATTTAGAAAGGGATGCGTTTGCTCCGAGGAGCTCGTAAAAATGATGCTTTTAACTCAAAACAAGAATCCCAAAGTGTTTCTCAGCCGTTTCTGGGCTGTCGCACACGAGGACACGTTGAGGGTGACGTGGCTGAGAACTTCCAGGGATGTGGGTTTTTGTGTGGCTTTGCGGCCGGCGGAGGCGGGAGTTGGTTGGTGGGTCCAGATGAACCCGGCGGGGTGTTTTGGGGCAAAACCCACCTATTTGCTTCATTTGGTCCTTGCCACCAAAAAAGCCTTTGGGGGGAAAAAAAATCTCCATCCCCGTTAGGAAGCATCTCTGCGTCATTTTTTCCTCCTCTCCTGCAACCTCCTCTCCTGCCTCCGCCGCCTGAGTGATGCCACCGGCTTTTCCCACCCCTTTTCCCTGCGGATGCCAGAATCAGGGAGGCGGGTGGGAGCTGGGAGGCTCCGCTGGGGTCCCAACAACCGTGAAAAGCGGCTTTGGTGGCGGCTGGCAGGGAGGCCTGATCCTGTTTATTCGAGCTCAACCCTTATATTCTCATGGCTGTTTGACTAGACATCCAGTCAACAGCCGAATCCCGCAAACGGAAGAGGCTCTGGCATATTTATACTGTGTGCTGGCATTGGCTCCTTAAAAAAAAAAAATCCCGGATTACCTAAGACTCGTCCTTGAGGTCTGGTCACCCCATGTCATTGAAAAATCTAGTGGGATTCATTCATGAACTTCCAGCCCTCCATAAAGGTCTGTTCATTCATAGCCAAGGCAGTTTTCTTTTTTTTTTTTAAAAATTTGAATTTTGTTTTTTTTTTTTAATGCGCTGGCAATTAAATAACTCTTTGTAAGCGGCAGTGAGCTACTTGTTAAGTGGTCTTCACTAATGCAAGCACAAATATCAGGTGAAAAGTCTTCCCCCCCCCCCCCCCCCCCCCCCCCCCCCCCCCACAGGGGGGGTGGT